GAGTCAAAAGCCAGTGAATAAAAATGCGTTTTCAATCTGGATTTAAAAACCAGCGCTGATGTCGAGTGCCTAATGTGAAGAGGAAGATTATTCCAAAGCTTAGGAGCCACGATAGAGAGCGCTCGGTCTCCTCTCAGTTTCAGCCGTGATTTGGGGACTGAGAGCAACAGCTGCTCAGCTGACCGGAGCGAACGAGTGGGGACATAGGGCTTCAGCAAATCAGACAGATACACATAAAGATTTAAAAACCAATAAAAGAACTTTAAAATGAATCCTAAATTCATTTGGAAGCCAGTGCAGGGACATGTCTGAATATTGTGTGTGCGCGTGATCCAACTTCAACTTTGGTAGATTAGTGGGTGACAGTGTGAATGTGAGAAGATAACTGCCACCAAACCATCATGATGCATGATTTGAAAGTAGGGATATTGATGGTTGAACACAGAACCATAATTCCATAATGGTGTGAGTTATTTATATGTGATTTTGCTGATGGTAAATTATGTTTAACACTGATCAGAATATCTCATTAACTTTTTGACAGCCAGCCAGGTCTGAGCAAAAATACACTGAAATACCAACAAGTCACATTCTACTTGGACAAGATGTGTCTGTTAAACACAGTGAGTACCAAATGTTTCAGCAAAATGGTCACCAAAATATGTGTTATCTGCCATGCAGTGATTTTTCTAAAGTAGTAATACCTGTGATGTTTGCAAAACATTGCAATGAAAATCTCACAGCTGTAAGTGGTGTGCATAACCATCATGCAGGTACACTGAATGGAGTAAAAGATCACATTTAGCTTCTAAGAGATGCACTTAAAGATAACTGTAAAATCACTCCATGTAGAATTAGAATATTTAGACAGTATTTTTATTTATTGCAAAACTTTGTCGCTATAAACTTGAATGAATGATTGAATATAGGTTTGATTCATTTTGAAGCCTCAGTGTTAGTGTTTTAGCAAACTGGAATGTTGCTGTTATTTTGGCAGCAGAAGTGACCGTAACTGGATGAGAGGTGAGAGGATGGCCAGCTGAATCCATCAAGTCTTCAGATAAAACGCTCAGACAGCTTGAATTTGATTGGATGAACGGACAAATGATTTACTTAAGAATAATGAAACTTGAATCAATTTTATTGGAATTCCACATGAGTGGTGCACACGTGAGAAGTGGAACGAAAACCATACATGATTCCAAACATTTTTTACAAATAAATAACTGCAAAGTGGGGTGAACTTTCTGTGAATGGTACTCATGGCCATTGATCAGTGGTTGTTGATCAATGGTCATGAGAATTTGCATAATTAAGATGAAGGAACTGACCTCACAGCTCATTGTTCATTCAGTGGGCTGGTTTCAGTCATTATGCAAATGTACTGTTTATAAGGTTGGGGAAACCTGCAGTCAGCTGAGACTGAAGTCACTTGGATGAGTGACGAAACGTTTCTCCCACTGAAAACGCCCAGATGTTGCTTTTTTGAAGAAGTGGTGCAGACTAATGAAGTAGTCTAGTGACAAAAGTTACAAATACTTTTTGAAATGAAAGTTGTTTATTGAAAACAAAAATTAGCGAAGGAGTTATTGTGAATAAGTTTATTATCTTATTATTATTAAGTTTATTATCTGGGCAGCACGGTGGCACGGTGGTTAGCACAGCAAGAAGGTCCTGAGTTCAATTCCACCATCAGG